CAGACCCAACCTCTTCTTCTGAGTCATCTCTCATCTGCTAAATCTCATATTATCCAGTTGTTGGTCTTCATCTTGACTGTACTTGTTGAGCATTGCTTCAGTCTCCACATCAGTAAGGATTTTCCTGAAGTTATTGAGAGGGCACAGACAGATGCATCCTGTCCAAACCAAACACAGAATCATCAAAATGCATGCAAAGAGAGAGAGAGAGAGTGCTGGATGGGGCCAGTCTTGCTCTCATAGCATGTTCCTGAAAGATACCTGACATTGAAAAACAAGACCCTTGTCACCAGGAGTTTATCTCTGAAGGAACTCTCTGGTGCCACAGGAAATGTTATTTTTACCCCTGAGATATTCTTGAAATTCATCAGTTTAACTTGTGTCTCCCATGGTCAATCTGTCTACTGTAGGTTGTTTTGCAAGCCCCACCTCTAGACCTAAGTTGGAGGCAGAAAAGGTTGTCCTCTCATAACTAATAAGGTACAAGGAGAGACTACACAGAAAGGACCTCTGCAATTGGATTCTATAATCACAGTGATTAAAAAAAAAAGCCATGAATGAGCATGGCTTCCTCATTCATAAGATGTGAAGATAGAGGGCTGAATAAAGTCTAAGGTGGGGCTCTGATGTGTGGGTACAGAAATGGGAAAAAGTGGAGTGAGGGAATTGAGAAAAGTGATTCAGCATCCCAGGAAAGTAAAACCAGGAATAGGCAGGTAGGGGACACAGAGAGGTGTCACCTGGAGTTTGATGGAACTAAGGCATGCAACTCTGATGTTCCATATTTTGACAAATTCCCATTGTTTGCACATGAAAGTGGCACTGTGGAAGTGGAAGGGAGATGTTTTTATTTTCTGTTGCTGAATAACAGATTATCATTGAGTTTATATCTCACAACACCCATTACCTCCTGGGTATGGATATCAGGAGTTTAGGTAGATTAGGGTATCACCAGGCCAAAATGGTTATGAGCCAGATGGACTCTTAGCTGAGTCAGGTTATTGTCAGGATCCAGTTGCCTTTAAGACTGAGGTCCCTGTGTTCTTGCTATGATCAACTGCCTTGGTTCCTGCAGGCCGCCTGCATTTCTTCTGGTGGGAGCAACACCATCTTCCAAGCCAATCAAGTCCTTCTCAGACTTTCAGTTCCTCTTTGTCTTCTAGTTTTCAGAGGGTTTAGGATAGTAAATGAAGGTCACTACCACAATCTCTAGTCCATTGATTTGTTATTTTAGTTATAATTATACAATTCCTCAGAGTGGTCACTATATTAGTGATTAATGAACTAACCAGAGAATAAACTGGAATCTCTGGGACTGGGTTGGAAACCAAACATAGCAGCCCATACCTGTAGTAGGTACAGTAGTCATGCCTGTATTCCTTAAAAAAATCACTTGAGATCAGGAGTTCAAGATGAGTCAGAACAACATAATAAGACTCTGACACGAAGCAAGGAAGCAAGGAAGGAAGGAAGGAAGGAAGGAAAGAAAGAAAGAAAGGAAGGAAGAGGGAGAGGAGGAAGAGAGGGAGAGAGAGAAAGACTGGAAAGAGGGACAGGAAATGTTATAGATGAGGAAAAGTCACATCTCTAGAATATCCTGAAGATGAAGTTGAAAAGACTGAAGATCACAAAGTGCAGAGTAAGGTAGGCAATTTATCTCAATAGTAGAATCTCTGGGTTCAAGTTCCTGCATAAAAAGAAGGAAAAAGGAAAGGACAGAAGGAAGGGAGGGAGGGAGGGGGAAAAAAAAGAAAAGTAAATGCCAGGAAATCTCTGAAGAGTACGCCACACAGAACTGTATGACAGATCATTCCCTTTTCACTACAGCCTCTAGAGTGCGGCTTTATTATACACAGTGAAGTCTTTAGTTCACTCAGTTTACTGTATCATGGCAAAGTTACACTCTAGGTTGTATTTTCTTTTTCTTTTATCACACTTATTCTATTCTTCAAACTTCTTCAGTATTATTGAAATAAGGTCAAGTTTTAAAGTTATTTATTTAAACTGAATTATCAAACAAATATAATAAAATACAGTTCAATAACTCTGGTAAACACTCAAACCTAAGGCAGTGCCTGATCCAAGGTGATGGTTTTGTGGTTTGTTGTTCTTATCATCATAAAAAAGTATATTAAATGGCAATTATAATGCAAAAGGAAGATAAATATAATAGGTTATATTTTAAAAGTATGTGTTAAAAATTTTGGCTTTGTCTTTGGTTCTGATAGGTATATTTTATGCATAAACTATACATATAATTTCTCTCTGAATTGTCCAATGAAGGTTAAGTGACTTTTCAGAGCCAGAATGTTCCAGAAATGGCATAAAAGCCATATCACCAAGAACCCTAACTCTGTACTCGACCTGTAGCCTAAAGCCCTAGACAAGACTCCTGGGATCTTACAATTGTTCCAGAAAGATTAATAACTAGGTGCCACCAACCTTAATAAGATTATTGAAGGTATATTTCTATAATTTTGGCTTTTCTTAACCCTGAAAAACACACATAGAACATTGGCAGACCCTAGGTTCATGGACTATTAAAACTGAAGGGCTACTAACCCCACTCTAAAGATAAGAAAACTGATACTGGAGAGACTAGCAACTTGTCAGTGGATTTTAGGATTCAATTCTAAGAACTATAATCTTGCTACACACTCACTGGTGTTGGTATCATTTGGCTCCCTTACCTGTGAATGGAATGGGTTAAAGTGGAAATTTATCCCATTTTGTACTTCTTTGATTCCTAGCATGGCTAAATATCCACTCATATACATTTTAAGTATGTTTCCTTTTTTACAAATAGCTTGTTCAAACTTATAATTACATTTTTTAGCATTTTGAAAAACTATGCTTTTGCTCTATTTTTCAAAAGTATCAAAATCTTAATTGTTGATTTATAAAAGTTGCCTGGCTTCAGTATTAATCCCTTACCAGCTTTGGAATATGTTAATAACTCTCATCCATCTACTAAGTTTGTCAGTGTTTCCTTTGTTTTCACATACTAAAACTCATCAATTTTTGTCTTTCCAAATGTCGGTTGTTAAGCACACTTGCATAACATCACAGAAGTGTTATTTAAATCTTGATTTTACTTTGCACATTAATACAAGTTAAAGATAACTTTTGCATAATGTCCATGGGAATTTTTCTCTGTACAAATAGCCAGTTTTAGCAATATTCTCTATTAAATATGTCCATATTCTCTATCAGTTTTTGGTGTCAGTGGTATACTTCAGATTGAATATGTGTCTTCTTTTGAACACTTTAACCTCTTTATTAATGATTGTTCCCACACAAAGATAGTTATTACTGTCTTAAGGTGCATGTCTTCAGAGAATGAATAGTTTTGTTGATGCTATTATTTCATTACTATGGTATGGTTTTATTGCTACTATGAACATAATCTAGCTTCCATTATACGTATTTTTAGTTGGATTTGGCTATTACATAGGACAATTAATTTTTAAGAATGAGCCTACACTCAGCACCTAGCAGATGAATAGCTAGCAAGGATAATCTTCCATGCCTTAAGTTGTCCCTTCACTCTGTTATTTACTGCGCAGCTCTTTGCATTGATGTATTCTACAGTGATGTGAAGAACACTGTAAACTTCCATAGTGACGCTTTCATGTAAATTCCATACCCTTAGAATAAATTCCTGATTTTTTTTTGGCCCCTGGGGCACAACCATGTGATTTCACCTGAGCTCATGAACCAGATAACATCTGTTGCTCTTGGGTGAACAAAATCTGAGGGAGAAATTTAAGCATCAGAAGCCCCAACACGCAGCCAAAGCCCAAGGCAGAAGAGGTCTCCATCAGTCCAGGAAGAGACCTTGGTATCAGCGCTAATCATCGCTTTCTATTTGGAAGATGTCCCCAGGCAGAAGTTTGGGCCCCTGGACAGTCTGCTGGGTGACCTGGGCTCCTCAGAAGGGTGGCTCCCCGTGTGTGGGCGGCTTCGCCTGGCACAGGTGCTTATCTTGCCTGACAGGCGGTGCCCCGGCCACCAGGAGGCAGAAGTCCCACCCCCGCTCGGCTCCTGAGCACCAAATGCTCTGCACCACGCGAGGGGGACCCAGCTCTCCGACCGCAGCCCCCAGCACAGCAGCCCCTGGCCCTGGGTAGTGACAGACCACTTCCCGGAGGGGGATTTGCCACTGGGGTGCAGGGCCTGCAGATCGTGTCCTGTGACAGCGCGGAGTTGTGAACTGCTATTAAGCCTGGGGAGCTTGTGCTTAATAAACTGGATGGAGCAGGAAAAAGTAGCACACTGCTCAGTAGAGATCACCGAGTTACTAGCACTTTGGAGGTATGAAATACAAATTGACAATTCACAGCACGTTTTCAGAAAAATGTTATGTTAATGCGTGTATCATGGGATGCTTGGTAAAGTGAAACTAGCTTTTTTTTTTTTTTTTGCAAGTGTGTAAAGATAAATACAGCTGACGGAATGGATAAAAACTTACTGAGAAAAAAACTTACTGAGCACGAAAATTACTGTAGGTAAAGGAGAAATTTGTTAACATTAGTATTTTATGGGGATTTGCCAATCTGTAATGTTTTCTTATTCCCATATCAATGTTTGCCCACAACTTTCAGTAGTTTGCAAAAATGGCACTGAGCTCTCTTATGCAATTTTTCTATGTTGAGTTTGAGTTTGTTATTAACATGAAATGTTAACCAGCTTATTAAAATATTTCTTAAAACTAACATTGTAAAATTTTAAACAATACAGAAAAACACAAGACCAAACAAATTAGACTGTGGAAGTATCAGTTATTTTCTCTGCATATGAAATGTGCCTTGTTTTATTTTCCTACTAATAAAATAAATGTCAAAGCTCATTCTGCTGTGACAAAACCATACAGATTCCTAGTAACAAGCATTTATTTGTCATCTTCGCTCCAGACCCTGGGCATTACACAAGAGCTCCCTTAGAAATCATGTTCTTTTGCATCAAAATATGTTAAAACACACACATGCAAAATCTATTCCTGTGCCTGTCTCTTGTCACTAAACATCCAGGGACACTTAAAGTGAGACTGAGTATGATAAATGGACCATAAAGTACAGCCTGCCATGGAACATTGCCCTGAGAGAGCACACGGGGAGGGAGGATCTGGGCTGAAATCCTCTGCACTTAATGAAGCTGTAGGTGGGGCCATAGTAAGGATGGCCAAGTTCAGTGGCAATAAAGGGGCAGCATTCCAACTCTTCAGAGATGCTCTTCCTTGTGTTTACTTTTGAAAGAAATGTCATGTGGCTGTGTGGCATAGGGAGGAAGAGGGGACCAAAGAATGGAATGGGAGGGCATCCTCAGTGCTACCCAAGGACTCACCCAGCCGTGAGTATTCTCTGTGCTTTCTGAGGCGGTGGGTGTAGTAGCCATTGTCCTCGCTAAGGTTATGGACACACTTGGAAGCTAAGACCATGTGGTCTCCTTGCAGCTATGTTATAGATGGATGTTATTTTGGGATAAGCCCAGATCTTGTGGAGGGATAGGTGAATCTCATGTCCTTTAAGTATTCTCTAAATATTTCTGTCAAGATATTTTTAAATAGACATTTTCATATTTAACTGAACATACATATGGAACTTGGTGTGAAATTTCAATATGTGTTTACTATAAGTGGTGATCAAATCAGGCTGCCTGACACTTCTGTTACCTCAGACACTTTGTCATGTAGGTACCTGTCAGCAGTTGAAGACTTACATCTAGTGAGATGTTTCCTACTGCATTGCTTGCTATGGCAGTATTTTGGATTGAAATGTTTTCATGAAAATTAGAGAACCAAATGCCTGCCCTACCTATATCTGTAGGTTTTGTAATCCTACTATAAACTATATTTTGTCCTTTAAAAAAATCAATGCCCAGCCCACCTTAAGAGGTGAGCCAAAAATTGAGTGATTGTTTTGGCTTAATATATTTTTTTTTTCAATAATGGCCTTATTGTAATAGAATGTATATGCCATACAGTTCACCTAGTTAACATGCACAGTTCTGTGACCATTAGTATATTCAATGTTGTGCAAGCATCACATTGTCATAGGTCTTTTTCTTTCCCATACCATACTGATGAGTCATCATCAGTCCTACATTGGGTGGGTGAGAAGAATAGATCTACATAGTTAACTAATGGATATAGAGAAATGAAATAGCCCGAGGGTGCTTCTCTGAGAATTGCTCACACCTGGATGCTCTATGATGTTTGGGTCTGCAATGGTGCTAGGGGTTGAAACCAGGGCCTAGGCTATTCCAAGCTCTTGATCTATCACTGAACAACACCCAAGCCTATGGTCAATTTCATTTCCAGGGCCTCCGATAAAAAAAAATTTAGAGGGAAAATGGAAAAGGGTTTTCTTTCTCTAATACCTCATTGAAGAAAATCTAAGGAGGCTAGAGATGTAGCTCAGTGGCTCTGTGCCTGTCTGGCAAGCACAAGGTCCTGAGTTGCATCCCTGGTACAAAAAAAGAAAGAAAGAAAGAAAGAAAGAAAGAAAGAAAGAAAGAAAGAAAGAGAAAGAAAGAAAGAAAGAAAGAAAGAAAGAAAGAGGGAAGAAGGGAAAAAAGGGGGAAAGAAAAGAAAAGAAAATCTAAGGAAACACATCTACTCTGATTTTCTGCAGTAGCCTTTACTTTTAACTTGACTTCTTTACGTCAGTATTCTTGACACAGTGTTGAGAGTGTCCTTTTAAAAACATGATTGCAGTAGGAGCCTTTTCTGGCTAAAATCCTCAAGTCTTCTCATGTACTGAGCATGTACATTTTTAATGATGGGATATCTTCCACCTGTCATGAATCCCACATCACTACTATAGTGACATGGGATCCTAGAGTGCTTCTATGGCCTGACGACAAAACTATAGCACCCAGTAACATTGGAAATTAGTGCCAACACTGAGTGTTTTAGAGTGAATTTTCATTTCATTTATAAGTTGAAGCAGTCACCAGATGGTGATTGAGGGAAATTTGGAAAATTTTGCCAAGAGAAGTCATAAAAGTTGCAGCCAGCAAAGCCATAGGAGTAGGGCCGCCCAAACTCCCTGGAATCCAACTTGCCCTGGGTTCTAGATACAGAGCTACAAGATTTAAAGTTTGCTTTATAGGGTTTGGGTCTTGCTTTTCCTTATGTCCATATTTTTCTCCTTTTTTTTTGGTACCAGAGATCGAACTTGGGTCCTTGAGCTTGTGAGGCATGCGGCAGCACCACTGAGCTAAATTCCCAGC